GGTGGTGAAAAGCAATCTCTTATTGTCAGAATTAGGAAATGACTTTTTAAGTACACATCATCCATCCAGAAAATATGATGTCAAGTTTTCATTCAACAGAGTGTGTTTGAAACGTGCTCACCAGGCAATTGAATCTGCATCAGGCCCCTTATTAAGGAATTTCATCTTCCCCAAATACCTTCCACAAAGCTGTGAACTTGTTCCGAAACATTCCTCTCTCATTGATGAGATTTTGAGACTCCAGGACTCCCCGCCCTACCTCGTAGAAGGACACTTATCTATTAATACGGATTGGAAAAGAAACGGTTTGTATAGGGATGGGAAAAGCAGCCGTTTATCGAAAACTGGAAATCTGATTGTGAAAGCTGTAGTGGAACTGCTTCGAGCATCTCCTCTAAACCGGATCCTATTGTGCGCACCAACAAACACAACATGTGACGAACTCCTGAGAGGTCTCAAGTGGATGCGCATTCCTGAGAGTGATATTTTTAGGGCCAATGCTGCATTTCGGGAACGTGAAGATGTACCTGAAGACATACTTCGTTCATGTCCATACGAAGAGGAAACCGAGTGTTTTATCTGCCCTTCGCAGGATAAACTCAGCAGGTATAAGGTAATCCTGACCACTTTTATGAGTGCTTACCGGCTCCACAATGAGGGATTGCAGGCTGGGCATTTCAGCCATGTCATTCTAGTGGATGCCTCATCTGTCACTGAACCGGAGGCGCTAGTTCCTCTGGCTAACTTTGCCACCGAGGGGACAACCGTTGTTGTCTTCGGTGAATTAGGAAATCGTTCAGGCTGGATACGGTCCCCTATGGCAAGGAAGTACGGGTTGCCACGCTCTTACTTTGAAAGACTCTGTAAAGACAATCCAAATTCCATCACAATCCTGAGTGATGACCATTGACATTAAGGCTGACGGACTGAATAATAAGTTTGGGATTGCGCCACTTATATATATTGGCGACGACTAATAGATTATGAAGCAAACTGAGCTTGTTTTCAACTTGAGATTTTGTCATCTCAACATAAGGTTGTTAAGAAGGCTTTAATAATCGAATGTTTAATGATTTAATAGTAACATTGTACAGAAAATATATTAACCATTTTCGAAATATAAAAACAAAAACAAACCAATGATGGAGTTAATATGACCAACCCCACTCATAAATTAATACTCCGTATTATACATATGCATTCATAAACGAGCTTTGCATGCTGTTTTTATAGTACAAATCGCTTGAAGAATAAACAGATAACATATGTTGAACACAAAAATCATATAGAAAACCACAAGTTCTCAACACTTTCCTTGTAATATCTGTCTCTGAGTTGTAGTATCAATATACTATTCTCTAGTCAACTCAGTTCACATTTGGATCCTAAATTTATGTATGAGTATCATCAACTTTTTCTATATTCAAATTAATTGTTACCCTTGTCTCGTTTTATTTGTCTTGTATTTTTTGGGTTGTCCCAAAGTAGGTTTTATATTTCTTTTTTGGAGAAAAATAAGTTGTCCACATTATTTCACTTTATTATATACAAATTTGAACTACAATTTTTACTTTCTAATCACTTTATTAATAATTGGGTCAAACAAAAAAGACACATAAAATGGGACAAAGGTAGTAATTTTAATAGAACTATTATGTAATTTGTGGATCTATACTTTTAAATTTTTATCATTATTAATTATATTGCTTATGCACTTCATGCAACATCCTTTGGTAGATATGAATGCCCGTTTTCCAAATGCCTAAATTTCATATCACGTATTCCAAATGCAATTTTTACTAACTCATAAGAAAAGAAAAAGAAATTGCAAAACTGGAAACGTTTAAGCATATGGTACCTAAAATAGTAAAATGTGATACTGAGATTGGATCATTGGAGTTGACAAGTTATGAAACCCGTCTTTGTTCACAACACACTTACAAGCACTGTACCAATTTTAAATTAGAACTTGCAATTAAACGTGACTTTTATTCAGTCATGATTGTAGTGATAACCATATATTGTCACATTTAAATATAAGAGCAACCCCAATGGAAAACTTTCTAGTGTGTGTTAAATAAGCCAAATGTCAATTAATTAAAAGGATTTCTAAGTGACGTGATACGAAGTGGATTAGGAGGACTTTGAGTTATTAAAAATTCTTCCAATGCATAAAGTCTCAATTGTACATGTGGCTTTTATTATTAATAAAATATTATTATTATCCCTAAATTTTAGTTAGCTTTCAAAGGGAAGTGATCGTGCTATTTCTCTATTCCAGCCCACTTGCGATGAATTTTATCCCAGTCAGCAAGTTTTCCAGGCTTTCTACAATTGAACTTTAACTCTTCACACTGTCTAAAAGAAATTTGCCACATCACCATGAAAGAACGTAGGACTAGATGCATTGGAAGCAAAATTAAATGGAGAGTGTCTAAATTAATGACATGGCACACTACTCCAACACTAGAAAGAACCGCATTGCGGTTGCTCTAAGGGATAATTGAAATCTTAGAGCATCACTAATGGCAGGCCGTTGACATTAATAAAATTGCCACATTATCGATGTTGTTAACATTGCTACTCGCATTTCTGTCTCCATTGCGGCATGTCTAAACTCAAGTAATGTTGACTTGTAAAAAAATAACATATATACAGAGCCCGTTTGGAGAACTCTGTTTTCGGCTTATCAGGCTTATCAGCCAGCTTTTTCACCAAACACGTAACTTTTACTTTCGCGCGCTGAATTGTGTAATAAGCCGAAAAAGTAAGGTTGGAGTTACTTTTCTGGCTGTATTGGCTGAAGTTACTGTAGAGGACCATTTTAGCTATTTTTACATATAATTTTTTCTTTAATTTATTAATAAAATATATTTTTGAAATATTTTTTTCTTAAATCAGCAGAATCAGCCAAAATAGCCACTCCAGACAGAATATCATAAATTTCAGCAGAATCAGCCAAAACAGCCGATTTTGGTGCTACCAAACGGGCTCACAATGTTAACATGAATGTCTTGTGATAACAGCATCTTAATTTCACATGATGACTCGGCAATTTGGTGGAGAAATAAGTAAAAACGTTTGGGCGACAAAATAAACAAACCACAACGTGAAGTAGTGGGTTTCTCAAGTAACTCATCGCGGAATATGTAGGGGTTCAGTGATTCTTACTCCATATTTTATTTTATTTTATTTAAAAGCAAAATTTTACACGTAAGCTTATGAGTTTGGACTTTGACATGAAGCACTAGACCAAGTTTTGGGGGTTCACCGTCTAATAAAATGACTCTTATATGACATGGATAACATTCCACTTATTAATTGTCATGTGTCAAAATTTACTTCATGTTAACAATGTAACGTTAAAGATGCTCTTAAATTCTTAATTTTATAATGAACTAAAAGAGTCCAATGCCTGGCTCCGTTTTCTTTTGTTATAATTCTAGAAAATGCAATTAGCCAATTATACGATTGAGTGTTTGTAGAATTAGAATAATGATGATGTTTCTATGTTGTTGATGTAAATTCAACACGAGCCTTTGGACATAGCACCACGAATTTTCATTCAAAGAAATAAGTGGAAAATTAAAAAAACGATTATTACATGGAAATTCAAATAGGTGAAGGCCATGAGTTTTTTTGGCTAATCAAGCCAAATGGCCCCTATATAATCGGAAATCATACAATTATAATAAATGTCACATTTTCCTAAAATCAAGCCAAATGTCACATAATAATCCGTCCCATTGCATCTATTTACTTTTTTTAGTTATTCTAAAATCAATGTCACATTTTCCTTTTTGAAAAAAAATGTTATTTAAAACATTTCACTTTATTATACTCAAATCTCAATCATAATTTTTACCTTTTTAATCACTTTATTAAAAAATATGGCAAAATCAAGTGAGACTGATTCTACTATTTGTTCAAAGCAATTGAAAAGTTTCTACACATTTAGAAAACTTATTACAACAAAATTACGCAAGTATGAATTGTATGATGTATTCGCAAACTATATATAGTGCTCTTTTTAAATATAATCATGAACTCTTTTTAAATCCACGTTCTTTAATTTTTTTTTAATATGTGCTCTTTTTTAATTACCAAATCATCATTATACAGAAATTATAGTTTTTCCCACATTTTTCTTCCAATGCAATACCCCTTTGAGTATCCATTCTCATTTTTTATTGAGATAATACGGAGTATTATTTTATTTTAGAGTGTTCATTTCAGCATATATGTATAACATACATGGGTATCCAAATCAGTAATTTAGATGATGCTTAGCAAATCATAAATTAGTAATGAAACTCTAGCAGTATCGCCTTAATCATCTGATTCAGAAAAGTAAAGAAATTAGACAACCATTTAATATAGAAATTCAAATTTACTCCTTAGATTTTGATTGTCTGTTCAAATAAAATGTTTATGAGCCCGTTTGGTAGCACGAAAATTGGCTGATTTGGCTGATTCTGTTGAAATTTATGAAGTTCAGACTGAATTAGCTGCATTGACTGATTCTGCCGATTTAAGCTAGAATTATTTTTAAAATATAGTTTATTAATAAAATAAAGAAAAAATTATATGTAAAAATAGCTAAAATAGTTATCTACAGTAACTTTTACCAATACAACCAGAAAAGTAACTACAACCTTACTTTTTCTGCTTATTCAATTCAGCGCGTGAAAGCAAAAGTTACGTGTTTGGTGAAAAAGTTGGTTGATAAGACAGATAAGTTGAAAAACAGTGTTGCCAAATGACCTCTATATCTATTATATATAAGAGGTGTTTGGAATTGATTCTGCTTTTGCTTCTTTTTTAAAGTAGAAGCAGAATCAGAATCAGTTTTTAGAAGCTGGTCTCTCCCAACTTCTGAAAACAGATTGCAAGGGTAAATTAGAGCACCAAAAATACTTCTAAACTTTCACCCAAACACCTAAACATTTGTTTCCGCTCTCTAAAAGAGTAGAAACAATTTTAAGAATCAGATCCAAACAGGAAGTCAAATTGGGTTTTTTTGTGTAATTTATGCATAACTTTTACATTTTCTATATTGACACCAAATTCAAACTACCCCCGCCTCACACACACGTGTGTGAAACGAAATGTCTCTATCCGATGTAGTAACAACGCCCAGCAAGCGCCTGATATTAAAACGAAATGTCTTTTGCACTGAAATTTACTGGTCTGGTCTGGTCTTGTAAATGTCTGGTCTCTGTGTATGTTATAACTACGGAATTCTGGTTTGATCTCATTTCCGTCCAAAAGAAAAAATCCTAAAGCATCAAAATTATGAGACTAAATCTAACTTCTAAACAAAATTAAGGAAAATTACTATATCCCCTCACGATAATAGCATAATAATGCATGCAACCTTGAATTTCAAAAAGCAATTAGTTTTCCTTGAATTTTGATTATTCTAACCGTTTTCCCTTCACATTAATATTTATCTCATTTAAATTTCAAACAACTCTCAGATTTAATGAAGGTTCTCTACCATATCCATTTTTAAAAGTAAAAATAACTTATTATCATAATTATCACTAGAAGTCTAGCAGGAAAGATGAAATAACCAGAAACAAATATGGTTTACAATCATGATGATGAATTATCTTGACTTTTATAAACATGTATTTTAGAAAACATTTATTATATTTAACCATTATATACAGCTAAATGTTGATTGGAGAGGTAAATTGTGGGAATAACCAAAATTCAAGGGGTCATTAATTAAATTTTAAAAATGTGAGGTTGAATTAATGATTTTGACCTAATCTTACCGGGCTAATAGTAGTTTTCCCATAAAATTAACTTGCATTTTTTTAAACTTGCTCCAAATTCATAATAGCTGCTTCAAAATGTCTGATGACCCCGCAGAACTCAAGCAGACTCATCCATTTGTTCTCAACTTATTCAATGCACACTTGGCCTAATACAGGTCTTCATTGGTTTGACCATCAACTTCAGTGGCAGTATCGCTGCTTTCACTTATCAGAATCCCCTTACATCTGCATTTTAATTTCAGTCTCCTCCTTTTCTGTTTTCTGCATTATGTATACAAAAATATATACTAGTACTTAATACATAAGATTCATAAGAGCCTAGCATTGCAGTTATCATTGAAAATGGGACATTTCATTTGAAAACCTTTGAAGACATTTTGGAGGAAATTTGGTTTTTACGTCCTACGGTTTACATCAGTATTTGACTTTGCACCCACCCATCTTTTCACTTTTTCCCGAAAATGCAACCTAGAGCAAGTCATTTATATTAGACTTTGCACAATCCATGGTTTACCTTAGCATTTGATTTGTACCTCGCTTAAGGGTGCTATGGGGTGCATACAACAACTAACTACATCCAAGTTTTATTCCCAAAAGAGTTTGGCGTCGACTATCACGAATCGACATATGATATCGGAGTAAAAAACAATAAATAGAGAAAAAGGGACACAAACAAAATATTATTGTAAAACGAAGGGCGTAGGCACCAATTTTACTTTTCCCAACAATGTAACACCTGGTAATACAATCACATCGATTGAAAGAGTGGCTGCATAACTGCATTACCAGTTTATCACCCTCCTTGACCTATGTAAGAATAGGATATGCAATACGTATACATACTATCAAAGTTATTTGCAATATGTGTTGGTCCTATCATCAATGAAAGCTTGATGACAATGTCCAGTTGTGGTATCACCACATGAACATACATGTAGTGAACAACGGGAAACATGCAAGTATTCTCATAAATCAATTTGAATTCTCACTCTGTACTTATGTTTAAAATATAAACTCATTTATTTCAATGGAATATTCCAAGTTCAAATAGACCTGTGAGAAAAAGTAGAGAACTAACCAGAGATGTAGGCAAAATCCAACCAAGATCTGCTGCTCTGGAGACCAATCTAAATATGGACGTAAATCTTTGAAATACGCTTCGCAATATGTACCTTCACCAATGGGGGGTGGAATCAGCTGAATCAGAAACATTAAAAACCCAATGTCACTCAGAATCTGAAACATTTATATAACCAATGTAACTACAAACAACAAAACGCACAATGTCAAATAGGACTCAAATGATTTACTTCTTAGCACAACAAAATGGTGGCAAGTGTCAAGATAGAAGGTGAATTTAAAAAAGATAACAATAAGATTACCTCAACTTTAGCTTTGTCAAGTAATTTTGTCAGTTTCCTTGACCAGTAACACTTGTTAGACCACAAATTCACTAAACCCGACCACCTACCAGGCACCTTGAATATTTACTCTCAACTCTGTTACTGAACTCTTTGTCTTTCCAGCATGTGGAAGATGTTGGTACAGGTTCATCAATGTTAACTCTGCCATTACTATGACAATTAAAATTAATAAACATAAATACTTCATCCGTCCTACATAAAGGTTCCAATGTGATTTACAATGTTTGACTGACTAAAAAGTTAACTGATCTCTATCAATAATAAAAGAGATATTACCCGAAATAGGACTAAAAAGGTTTAAAAATTCCAAAATAGGACTGTCATGTTTTTATTCTCAAAATAAGACTAATTACTGCCATGTTTTGGCAGTACCAGATTTCAAACATGGCAGTATTTTACAAACATGGCAGTAATTACTCCTATTTTGGGAATAAAAAACTTGGCAGTCCTATTTTGGAATTTTCAAACTGTTTTAGTCCTATTTCGGTAACTTTCCCATAATAAAATTCATCATCATCATCATTACCCCAATGCCGCAAAGACTCCCACCTACGGTGGGGTAAGGGGGGTTGGATGTACGCAATCTTACCCTTGTGCTTAAAGCACACAGAGACTGTTTACGGATGACCCATAGTGGAAATCGCGTCCAAAATTGCATTGGTTGACTGCTACTTCATAACAAAGAAGTGCAGACAGTTTAATGAGTCATTTTGCTTTATTCCATCATATTCTCAAACCAAAAAAATAGTGAATATTTGACTCCGTTGCAAATGATGAAAAGACAAATACGAAATTTGGTAAAAGTTGGAGATATAAAATAAAAGATTATGAGCAATTTACCTTGATCGGAGAATACTGGACGGGAACCTTTAAGTGGGACAGAGGTAGTAGGAATTTATCATTTGAAGACCTGAAAGGTAGGTTATCTATCAACTCGTGATAATGATATGCCAGATTGATACTATCAATCTTAGACTCAAGTTCTCAAAATATCATGAATTTTGAATCTTTAAAAATATTATGTTAGTTTTAAATAAAATTTCTTTAGCGATGATAATAATATTTCCTCCGTTTTTAATAGTTGCAACATTGTTTTTTGCACTATTCACACACCTTACTTTGACCATAGTTTTCTACTAATATATATAATCAAATTATTATGAATAAAATTTTTATTAAATTTCTATTAATGTGAATTTCCAAAATATTAACTTTTCTATAATGTTTACTAAAACTAGGTGTACACCTTTTGTATACACAGGCAATTCATAACAAAAAATGCAATTCATATGTGAACATCCTTATAAATAGCAGGGTGTACAAAAGGTTTACCCCAAGCTAGGAAGCACGGAAACTCTCCATGGCTCACGTTTCCACGTTTCGGAAACTCGGAAGCGTTTCGGAAACTCGGAAACTTCAAATTCCCATTTCGGGGCCGTTTCCGTAATTAAGAAAAATTTGGAAACCCGTTTCACTACGTTTCGGAAACCTTGGATTCCAATTTTTTTTCTTTTTCAAAAGATTCTGTGGTGGAAAATAATTTTTATAGAATTTTTGTGGTATTTCTCAGCGGCAACACTTGTTACATTTCGTAACGCAATGTATTGCTAGAAATGTATTACTCCGTAGATTTTATGTTTTATTATGTACTAATATGAAATAATATCTAAATTCGAACATGTAGAGTGATTTTATTATGTGGTTATTAAACAAATTATATTAAAAAAACATGTGCATATGAAAAAACTTGTGTACATATATTAAAAAATATTTATAAACATATCCTTATATTTTATAATATTTACGCGTTTCCCCCACGTTTCGTGTCCTATATTTTTTTTGAAATTACGTTTCTTGCGTTTCCCGTTTCCCGTTTCACGTTTCACGTTTCCCGTTTCCGTGCTACTTAGACCCCAAGAATGGTTCTTAAATAATAAATATAATTATGGTCTTGACAGTTGACACCAACGGAGGATAGTATATAGAATTGATAAAATAATAATTAAATTGATATTGTTTTAAATATGAGAAACTGAAAACAAAAATGAAGGCATAACACAGAGGAATAAGGATACATAGTTCTTCTTTATGTCAATGACAAAGAACAAATGAAATGATGGAATCCGTTAGCAAAACTGGCATACATTTCTGGGTTTGGCAAGAATAGAATATCCTTTTAGATATAAGAGAGAGGACACCAATAACTAGAGCCTGTTTTGCAGAGTATAATTGTCTGAATTTATAAAAACTGAGGGACTGAAATCTCAATTTTAGTTGAATTATCAAAAATGTACTTTATATTAAATACTACGTATGTATTTTAAATAAGTTTAATGAAAGTTTGAAAGAATTACTAAAATTCTAGGGGAGACCGGGAGAGTGGCCATTTATTTCATTTTGGCCACACACACAAAAAGCTTTTGCACCATTTTTCCTTATTATCAGCAGATAAATCTTATGTAGTCAAATAGTAAAACTTCTATTTGGTAGAAAATATGACTAAGAAAACAAGCTAATGTAGAGCTTTCTCAAAAGTCAAAATGAGAAAAACCAAATCTAACTTGGAAGTTGCACACACTTTAAACTGTTCAAACGAAGAACAAGAATTTGTACAGAAATAATTGCAAATATGATAGACAATACCTCCCACTGCTCTTCTGACTGGACCTTCCTTCTCAAAGGGAATGACCCCCTCTTTCCCTTTGAACCAGGAATGTTTCAGGTTGGATCTCAACAAAAGTACAATCTTTTGGTTCTCTTAATGCTTTACATTATTACAAACTCACCCAGTTCACCAGCTTTAAAGGCCCGCTAGGTGCATCAATAATTTCAACAGAATAGTCGGTGCTATCATATTGAGCTCTTCTCTTACCCAAATAGTCACAGGTAATGTACATGAGAATGTCTACAAACAGACTCTTTTCCGTCATCCCTGTAGAGTAATCAGTATAAGGCCTTATATTAGTATCACACGATGTTGATGCTCTGTCCAATATTTTGTATGTTATTTCGTCAAACTCGATGCCAATTTCGCTCAACTTTTGTCCCCACATTAATGCCCTCTCTGGTAGCCCTTGTTTGCAAAGTTGAGACAGAAGTAAATTAGCTGTGACAGTATTTGGGATAAATGCCATCTTAAGTAACTTTGCACCCAAAATCATAGCACGTTCCAGTATATCATTACATGCAATGTTCATCATAATGTTGTATGTAACCGTATTTGGAACAATCCCAACAGAAATAAGCTCATTCAACATCATAACAGCCCGGTTAATCTTCTTGGTAGTGAAACAACCCTGAAGCCATATATTATAGGTAGTAATATCCGGTTCCGATCCACTCGCAAACATTTTACTCACTATGTTATCCGCTTTAGCCATGTCAAATGATTTAATGAATCCGTCAATCAAAGTATTGTAAGTAACAGTGTCAGGTCTTACTCCACTATGTTGCATCTCAATGTAAGTGTCTATAGCTGACTGCATCCTTCCCTGCTTACATAACCCTTTAATGATGATGTTAATTGTAAATATGTCAGGGATAAGGCCATTCACTCTCATCTCCTTCTCCAACATCAAAGCTGCATCCAGTCTTCCTCTCTTACAAAAAGCAGCAATTAAAGAGTTGTACACAAAATTATTTGGCACTAGTTCCTTTGTTTTCATCTCCAGAAATGTTTTATAAGCTTCTACGATAGATCCATTTTTACATAGCCCATCAATAAATGCTGAAAACACAACAACATCAGGAGTCATACCCAATCTTCCCATCTCTCCCCACAAAATTGTAGCATTATCAGTATCCCCTCTCTTGAAATAACCATCTAAAAGCACAGTGAATGAGACTATGCTGATAGGGAAGTCCATTGCAATCATCTTATTTATAAGTTCCTTTGCTTTTTGAAGCCTCCCCGTTGTACACAAGCACATGAGTAGAGAAGCGCATGTGGAGGCAGACGGAATATGGCCAAACATCACCATCATATTATAGATACCAAATGCATGTTCTCCTAACCCCGCTTTGCTATATGCAGCAATGATGGAATTAAAAGAAATAACACTAAGAGGTATTCCCCGCTCAAGCATAGTATGCAACATTTCTACAGCCTCATCCAACCTTTCGGACCAACACAGTCCAGATATTGTCACATCGGTTAATGAACACTCTGGAATTAGTTCTCTCGTGATTAAATCTCTTAACAATATGTCGGTACAGTTTTCCCTCCTATACTTGTAATACCCTCCCGCCAAGACATTGAAAGTTATACCGTCTGGAGAGATTCCTTTCTTTACCATTTCTTCATAAAGGGCATTAGCTTTATCGATTTCTCTTGCTTTAACATACCCATCCATCAAAGTGTTATATATTTCAATGCTTGCATAAACACCGGCTTCTTCCATTCCATCAAAGATCTTCTTTGCTTCGAGAATTTTCCCCTCCTTACACAAAGCGTTAATGATTGTACCAAAAGTGATGCTGTTAGGGTTACACCCACCAAGTTCGATCATCATATTCATCCAATTCAATGCATCTGAAGTCAAACCCTTCATACAATATGCATTTACCAAAATGTTATACGTCACAATGTCTGGTTCGCAATCAAACTTTATCATTAAATGGAACAAACTCTCTCCAATTTGAAGAAACCCTCTTTTACTAAACCCAAGAATTATCACGTTATATACATATATATTAGGGCAAGGCCCTTTATTCAAAATCTCACGAAATAAAATCCACACACTATCATGATAGCCAAACTTAAGCAATAATTTGAATAAAATACTAATGGCTGACAAGCTTGGCTGCAATCCAGCGTTTCTCATCATACCCAGAATCTTCAAAGCTCCAGAAGTCATTTCAGAACTTAAAAATGCTCGCATTAATGAATTAAGTACTGAATAGCAATCTAATTGATATAAACTGCGTTCACGCCATGTAAAGTTTACCACTTCATCACCTCTATATTCCCCAATCTTCCTAATTATCCATGAAAGCATGTCTTGTGACATCAACCTAAGCTCCATAGCTTCCAATAGAAGCGCAGCTACGGAACACGATTGCACCATACCCTCTGAATGGTCTCGAAATACATATTTAAAGAGTGCAAACGCAACTCCCCGGTCATGGAAGGATACCATGATTTCTACAAGACAATATGGGCAGAACTGCTTGGAAAATGCACTCAAATAATAGTCATTTTCCTTTTTTATTATTTTTGATAGGCCTACAATGATTCTACGCCTCTCGTTTGAAGTAATCAAAGTGTAACTTTCGGAGTTTGATAAATTCTGGAAAGGGGAAAACTGCTCTAAAAGATCAAATCTTTTTTCAGGAAAAGTCGAACTTGAGCAGTGAAATGAACAACGGGATGAGAAGAAAGAGGCCGAACGATAAAAGATTGATTTGTACAGAGGCGATGTGATTGACATGGATAGAAGCAAGGTCTGATGGAATGCCTGAACAACACAATGCAGTCGGCTTGCCGGAAAACGAATCCGGAATACTTCAACAAGACATTCCAATGTCCATGTTTTTCACTTTAGCTCCTTTATCTAAGACTATTCGATTGTTTAAGCTCCAACTCAATTCGAGTTCCTATATATAATTAAAAAAAAACTCCGTACCAGTTTTCTGAGAAGCAGAGATGGGCTTGTAGCAACTGGCGAGTTGAGAACTGAGAGCAGCGGCTAGTAGCAAAACTGATTAATTTTACTGTCTCCTCCGGTGTCCTCCCTCCCATAAAGTTTAAAGTTTGAGATATTGCCGAGGCTAGGAATTAGGAAGAGCTGCGGGACTGCGGGAGAGGTCCGGTTCAACTCAAGTTGGATTGAACCGTCCCCTAGGATTAAGTTCTCACGAGTCCGGCCCAGGGATGCAAGTCTAGTCGAGCTTGAACGTGGGTATGTTTAAGCAGTTAAGTTTTTTTATAAGAATTCACGAGTTCAAATTTGATCTAGGGTTTAGACGAGCTAAATAATTCAAACTTGAACTTGAATCGAGCTCTGCTCGAGTTCAACTCAAGTTCGATGTGAGCTCAAGTAGTGTTTTGGTAATTAATATTTATAAGTTTGAGCTCAAACAGAATGTTTGAACTTGAATTCGAACTACAGTAATTACCCAAAATGGGACTAAAAAGGTTTGAAAATTTCAAAATAGGACTTTCATGTTTTTATTCCCAAAATAGGACTAATTACTGCTATATTTTGGCAGTACCAGACTTCAAACATGGCAGTATTTTCCAAATTTGGCAGTAATTAGTTCTATTTTGGGAATAAAAACATGGAAGTCCTATTTTGGAATTTCCAAACTTTTTTAGTCCCATTTTGAGTAATATCTCTATAGATTTTGATCGTGATAATGAATATTATTATATTTATAATTATTACTATAATAATATACTCTAATAAGTATTGGAAATGAAATAGTCCTAAATTAGAATACATATTTTAAATATATCATATATATAATTATTATATACCAACATATAATATGTATACACACACACAAAAGCTTGTGAACCGGCTCACGAGCCACGAGCCTAAAATAAGTAGGCTTGAATTAAGCTTGCTAAATACTTGAGGCGAGCTAGACTCGAGCCGAACATAAATTAACTAAGCTCAAGTTGAATTTTTTCTAAGCCGTCCACGAGCAGCTCACAAACGGCTTGGCTCATTTTCACCACTAGTCCGGTCAGGCCGCAAGTTTGGGGCATCTCATCATTTTCAGCTTGAGATATTGGGGCTTATGGCTTACGACTTTAGGATGTTTTTATTTGGATTGAAACTTGTTTTTATTTAAGTTAATTTCTTTATTATTATTATTACAATTATTATTATTTATTATTATTAATATTTTTATTGTTATGATTATTAATTTTCTTATTAGTATTATTTGATCATAGAAATCTTTGGGATTGCGGAGTCTTTTATCTCTATCTCTATCGTGACTTCATTGGATGGACCCGCCCCGTGACCCGCACAGGTCCAAACTTATTGATCCATGCCTCGCCCCATCTCGCTCCGTCGTAACCTAATTAGCTAGTATGCATTTCTATTTGTGTGAAGTTGTTGTTTTTTCTTTGAAAACATTTGTGTGAAGTTGTTACCACTTGAATCTACATAAAGTTTATCTCTAAATCATTATTCAAAAAATAGTATATTAAATCAAAGTCTAAAAATTTAAAAATTAAGAAAAAAGTACTTACACTTGAATAGTTTATATATTTATATTAATAATAGAATGTATAAATTAAAATATTATATATAAAAAGGGATTGATAAATGACAATTCGTCGTTCATCTTATTCAAATATAAATATTAATATACTATAAGACTAAAGAATTTATGATTTATTATATACACGTGATAGAGTATATAGACTCGGACCCCCGGGTCTCACGACTATTGGGCCCGAACAGCGGCCCACATACGCTCAGTGGATAGCATTTATCTCATTGTACACTCTATTTTATTCATGTATATCCATTAGAATAGATTAGATATCATTTATTAGCCATTTATTGGCCTTTTATTGTAACTGGGCCAGCCAGGCCCAAGCCTGGAAGCCCAGCCCTCTTTTCTCCTATAAATACTCCCTATGGGAGCCATGTAAAGGGGGGGATTGATTGGATGGTGGATTGGAATTCATTATACATATCACTTTATCTCTCTAGCTCTCCCTTCTCTCTAGATTAAATAATCATTTGGTGCTTTCATTGAGAGCTAAAATATATCAAGTAAGATCCTCCCAATCAATAACACTTCAAGTAGGTACCGTAGTGCCAACCACACGTCGGCCAAATGCTACGTGCAATGAAAAGTGGCAAGTGTTATCTAAATGACAACACTTCGTCCCTAGCTTGGAGTAACATGGCCCATTTTTAACAAAACAAGCCATGGTGGTCAAACTGCCAGAGCATACCACTCTGGTCAAACCATACGTGAGTAAGCAACACCTCGGCCTGGAGTGGGGAACTCGGAAGCATGCCCCCTCGGCCAGGCTTCACTCTATCCCAAGAAAGTGGACACCTCAAACCGTCCAAAAGCCAGGCAGCAGTGCACCATCGGCCAAACTGCAAGAGTTGGGACAGCCTCGGCCAAACAAGTCGCACCTCTTCGGCCTACACAATTCAAGCAATGGAAACAAGAAACGGTGCTGTCCAAATGGGTGCCGGCACCAATCGGCCGGCACCCATCGGCCGGCACCCATCGGCTTGCAACCCATCGGCCGGCACCCATCGGCCAAGCATTTGAGGGAGACATCCCATCAGCCGGCACCGCATCGGCCGACACCCCATTGGCCGGCACCGCATCGGCCGGCATTACTTCGCCCAAAGGAAGCTCTCTGGTGCCCAACGTCTGCCACTCCCTCGGCCAGGGAGATGCACCTCCTTCGTCCAGCGAGCATCATCCGGCGCCACATCGGCCGGTGCCACATCGGCCGGACCACCGGTCAAAAAGAGGGACACCGCATCGGCCGCGCACCGCATCGGGCACGACAGGGCCACCTCGTCAAGCAACCGCGTCGGCCGGACCGCATCAGTCAAAACGGGACCACCTCGTCAAGCAGTGCGCACATCGGCCGCACACATCCGATGTCACCCATCGGCCAAACCTGAACAGAGGACTGAGCAGTCCACCTTCGGCCAGAATAGGGTCGGAATCGCCTCATCCAGGTCAGGACCCTCCCCATCGTCGTCTCTGGCCCCTCTCCGGTGCCCAATCGCGGACCCCTCGGCCGCAATAGGAGCGTCGTCCATCAAAGAGACTGGTTCGCGTCGGCTTCAAATCGCGGATCCCTCGGCCACCATCTGGTCTTCGCGACGGCCGGAGCAGCAAGGACCTCCTCGTCCACAAGGCTTTCCGGCGACGAAAGGGGACCTCCTCGCCATTCTGTTCCACGCTCCACTCCTTCGTATGGACTTCTCCCCTGCGGATGAAATTGGCAAGTGGCAAGATCTGGAACCAGTGGGCCGGCTGTTTAATCTCCAGGGCTGGATTCTTAAAGTGCAGGCCCAATCTTATATTTCCCTGCTTGAATTCTAAGCAGGGCAGGCTTCGGCCCAAATACAAGTAAGTCTCACAAACTTTTCCTCCTATTTTATGCATTAAATATGGAGCAAAATAGTTTTACCATTATTCAAAAAAAAAAGTATAGTTTTACTACTATTCTAAAGAGAAAAAAAATAGTTTAACTAACTATTCAAAAGAAAAATAATAGTAATAATAATAATAATAATAATAATAATAATTACTACTACTATTATTATTATCACCACCATTGCTAGCGGATTAAAATCTCCAATAGGTGCGGGCCAAAGCCTTAACCTTCCGAACATCTTTATTTGATGATTCGGATTATATTTGGGTCCCTTGACCTACCATGGTCATCTTTATTTGATGACCCGGGCATCTAGAATTAGAGCCATCATCGGCCGTACACGACATTATGCCTAGAAGCGGTACACCTCATTCCCCTACATGCTAATTGCGTCATCCAAAAGCCGTTGCAATAGACAACGCAATCCAAAGTCGTTGCAATAAACAACGCACCTAAAGCCGTCGCAATAAACGACGCACCCAAAGCCGTTGCAATAAACAACGCACCTAAAGCCGTCGCAATAAACGACGCACCCAAAGCCGTTGCAATAAACAACGCACTCAAAGCCGTTGCAATAAACAACGCACCTAAAGCCGTCGCAATAAACGACGCACCCAAAGCCGTTGCAATACACAACGCACCTAAGGCCGTTGCGATCCACAACGCGCATACAAAGCCGTTGCAATAAACAACGCACCTAAATATCGTATCGGCACAAGCGGTGAAACACTCAAATCGGCCGGCGATATGCAGGACGAAGGACCTGTGTGCATGGTCCAACGTCTTCAAACGGAGAAGCATACCGCGTCGTCCGCGCGGAAACCGCAGGACGACAGGCCTGAATTAAGGCTGAGGTTACAAAAACTCCACCCGTCAGTAAAATTTCGCTCAGGACCACAAATGGCGGCCGTCAAAAGACGATGCCTAGTCCGGTCCCTCGTCGCCGATAGACGTGGAAAGGCAAAAAAGGATGCCACTGACACACCAAGCCGAGGGCGTATTTACTCCCTCGCACTAACACACGCGAAAAGCGTAGCGGACAAAATACCGCACATGGACGAAGGGACAGTAACCCTTCGGCCATCCAAAAAAAAAAAAAAAAAAAAAGAGGGAAGCCGACGGACCGCGCACTTGCCGGCCTCGAGCAATAAAAATAAATAAATTCCCCAAACTTATTATTCATCTCAAGACCGGCTCCCAATGCCGAAGCTCTTGCTCCATCATCTCATGAACGGCCTCCCCAACGCCGTCATACTTTTATATGACGATCGGCTTCATCATCGCCTCGTCATCATTATCCGGATCGGCTCATCATCATCGCCATCCGCTCATCACCACCGGCCCCCCCGGCCTCGGTGTGATGCTTTATCTCAAGACCGGCCTCCCCAGTGCCAAGTGTCTTGAGCTAGCGACCGAGCTAGCTATTCCCTTCCGGGATAGCTACCGTCGCCTCTATATGACGATCGGCTTCATCATTGCCTCGTCATCATTATCCGGATCGGCTCATCATCATCGCCATCCGCTCATCACCACCGGGCCCCCCGGCCTCGGCGTGGTGCTTTATCTCAAGACCGGCTTCTCATTGCCAAGTGTCTTGAGTTGGCAATCGGGCTCGCCGTTCCTTCCTGGATGGTGACCGTTGCCTCTACATGACGATCGGCTTCATCATCGCCTCGTCATCATTATCCGGATCGGCTCCTCATCGCCATCCG